TATATAGAGTGAATTTGGGGGTAAATTTTTTGGTAGCAGGACCGGTTCTATTTTGGTGCAGGAATGTCGCGATGATAAGTCATCGGCAATTGCACAAAACAAGGCTGCATTCGTTCGTGTATATATATGTATATATTTGCACGTTTGATGTATATATCCCACTTACTCTCACGATTTCTACCACCTGTCTTCTCTCTACCACCTAGAGGCACCGCTACTGATAAGGCTCCATAGTACTCTCTCAGTTCTTCATCCTAGCGTATTGATTCTTACAACCACCGTCTGATTTGTTTTTTTTGGCTTTGTGGACCTTCCCCTTTAGCGGTTCTAGTTTGCGCTCGTCCTATCTTCAGGCGCGCCTTTTCTGACCACAACAAATTTAGCCTGACATAAGTAGTAGTACAATCCTAATGCTTGTTCACTACACATCCCTCTCACCTTTAGTGAACCACTTTCCGTGTGCGTGGTATCTCTACCCTTGCTTGTTCACTACTCATCCCTCTCACCTTTAGTGAACCACTTTCCGTGTGCGTGGTATCTCTACTCTTGCTTGTTCACTACACATCCCTCTCACCTTCAGTGAACCACTTTCCGTGTGCGTGGTATCTCTACCCTTGCTTGTTCACTACACATACCCCTCACCTTTAGTGAACCACTTTCCGTGTGCGTGGTATCTCTACCCTTGCTTGTTCTTTGTTTTTTAACAACAGCCAGAGTTTGTTGTGGCATTAGTAGTACACAATCCCACCCGCTCGTTCAGGGATACCGCCATGTCACTCACTCTCACTCTCACTCTCACTCTCACTCTCATTCACTCTCACATTCTCCCCACAATACGCTATCATAGCTGGTTGACTATAGCCCTATCACCAGTGAACTCACTCGCTACCTTGTACGTCACATTGACACCATAATACCCCTCTCCATCTCCACAGTGAGGTGATTCCCGCGGAGTCGTCTTTCTCGTCACTGTCTCTGTCGCTGATTGTGTCGTTGGCTGTGCTCGGGTTAGTCATCCCGCTCACAATGATACTGATCATCTGGCGCCGAAAAAGGCGTCCCAAAAGCACCGACGAGATACTGTACAGCATCAAAAAGAACCACAAGTGGACTGAGTTCAACACGGCCGAGAGTCGCGCGGTCATGCGCGATGTCCAGCGCCGAAGTGGCTGGCTGCCTAAGGAACAGTTCTACATCTTAGACCAAGTGTGTGAATGATGATAATATAT